ATTGCTTTTGACGATCATGTCGTCAACATATGCCTCCATGGTACGCCGTAGGACAGCTTGGAATACTCTGGCCACCATCTGAGTGTAGGTGGCGCCTGAGTTCTTTAGGCCGAAGGCCATGACAAGGTAGCAGAAGATGCCCTCGGGAGTCATGAAGGCTGTTTTTTCAGCGTCTTTCTCATGCATAAATATTTGATGATATCCGCGGAATGCGTCGAGGAATGACATGATTTCACACCCCGCGGTTTCATCTACAAGTTGATCAATATTTGGCAAAGGAAAGGGGTCCATGGGACACGCTTTGTTGAGATCCGTGTAGTCCACGCACATGCGAAATGAGGGCGGTTTTGTGCGAGGACTACGTTTGCCATCCATGAGGGGTACTTTACCTCCTAGATGTGCTTGATAGAGAGGAGCATGGCGACCTCCTTCTTCACAAATTCCCTCCTCTCGGCCGAGAGGGGTCTCCTCCGCTGCTGTACTGGTTTGGCCGAAGGGTCCACCGAGAGGCGGTGGGTGATGACCCTTCGGCTGATCCCCGACATGTCCTCCGGCCCCCATGCAAAAACAATGGAGTAGGCGCGGAGGGCGCTAATGATCTCGGTCTTCAAGTCTTCGGGGATCTTGGCTCCAATCTTCACGACTCTCTCCGGCTTGGCCGGATCGAGCGCGAAGTCTTCTACCTCCTCGGCTGGTTCAGCCCTCGGCCTCCTTTCTTCCGCTTCCACAGTTCCGGTGATGGTGTCAACGCGGAACTCCGTCTTGCTAACCTTTTTTGTTACTTGGAGGTAGCAAGCGCGGGCAAGCCGAGGGGGCTGGGAACTTGAGGCAGAGGTGCCTCATGGAGATGACGACTTTGAGATCCTCGAGGGTTGGCCGGCCGAGGATGATGTTGTGGGCGCAGTCGATGTTGACGACGACGAACTCCACTTCGAGCTTGGCTCTATGGAGCCCGTCGCTGAAAAGTACCGGGAGAGTTATAACCCCCTCGGAATCCATGGTGTCGCCGGTGAAGCCGACAAGAGGGGTCTTGATGGGACGAAGGGACCCCCTCTCCAGATGCAGCTCTTTGAAGGTGCTGAGGTACATTACATTGACGGAGCTGCCCATGTCAATGTAAGTTCTGTGAATAATAGCGTCATTGATCTCTGCGCGGATGACGAGGGCATCCCTGTGTGGGGAGGACACCGGGGGGAGATCAGCGTTAGTGAAGGTGATGGGTTCCTCCCTCAGCCGCTTTACTAGGGGCATATGAGTGATTTCCACCACGTAAAGTGACTGAGCCCACTTCTTTCGTTGACTTGTAGAGTCACCCCCGGTATTGCCCCCGGTGATCATGAGGATGTGGCGCTTCTTCTCTTGGTACCGGGGGTACTCCTCCTCCTCTTCTTCCAGGTTCCCAATCTCCCTCTTTTTGCCGAGGGGGATGGTGTTGGGGTTGACCCATGCATTTGCTCTCGCAGTTTGCCCTCGGGTTGGCCCTTAGTGAGGGGGGCCCTGTTGCTGAGGGCCCTGGATAAACTGAGACAGATGACCTGCTTGTATCAACCTCTCGATGGTCGTCTTCAGATGATGGCAGTCATCGGTCCTGTGCCCCTAGTGCCGGTGGAAATGACAGTAGGGGTAGTTTGGATTGATGGCAAATACTTTCGGGGGTGCGCGTGAATCTCACTCCACTAGGCCCCTCTCCTCAGCAAAATCAAGAATGACGCTGAAGGGGTGCGTCAAAGGTGTACGAGGGTGCTCCAGGAGAACAGGCTGTGCCCAAGCCCTCAGATTCCCCTTGTAGCCTCCCCCGGGCTTGGCTTGGCCATGCCAGGGGCAATCACCGGAGGGGGCAGAATCCTTGGGATGATTGCGGGGAGCCCCCGGCCCCCGGTTACCTTTGTCGTCTGGCCGAGGGCGCTGCAGATCCGGGACGTGGTGGCATTTCTCCACCTCCTCGGCTTCGGCGTACCGGTCCCCCCGCTGTAGGGCCCTTATATAATCGCGGGGAGGCTCGATGATGAGGCTCCTTGAGAAGTTCCCGGGGCGGAGTACTGTTTGGAGGAGGGCCAGGAGGGTCCCGTCGTCAGCGCCATCAACTTTATCAGCCTCCGTTCTCCAGCGCTCCAAGAAGTCCCGAAGGGTCTCCTCCTTCCTCTGCCTCACCGTCAGCAAGTGGGAGAAGTGTTTTCTTGTGCGGCGCCTTCCCGCAAATTGCGTCAAGAATCGCTGGGCGAGTTCTTGCCATGAGTCAATGCAGCCCTCGGGCAATCGATTGAACCATTCGTAAGTCGGCCCCTCTAAGGTGGAGAGGAACCAACGGCACAAATATCCATCTGATGCCCCCACCATCATCATGCTGTTTTGGTACCTGCTGTAGTGCTCTTGGGGGTCAGTCTTTCCGTCGTAGGGCTTGATGAGCTGCCCTCGGTATTTTTCCGGGATCCGGGCTGCCAATACCCTTGGGGTAAATGGCGTCCGGGTCCGGAGCTGTATGGTGGGTTCCCTGGAGCCCTCGGCTATCTTCTTTTGCATTTCCTCCATCTTGGCCAACATCGCCTCATACTTGAGGTCTGTATGAGGGGTAGAAGTGGTGGTGTGTGCTTTGGTGGCCTCCATTTCGTCAAGCCGGCGCTGGAGGGCCGCAATGATTTCGTCCCGGGGGTCCTTCGGGAGGGCCTCCGCCCCCTGCGAATGGACGTGGGCCGAGTAGGCCTGGTTGATTTGGTGGCGGGCGTCGTTGGCATGGAGAGGTGCCTTGCCTTTGTCCTGAGGGAGACGCCTTTCATTGGCCCTGGAGACGGACCCGCCACTTTCCTGAGGCCTCTGGAACGCCTTCCCCCCGAGGCGGTCTTAGACCCCTCGGCGGTCTTGCGCCCCTCCGAGTCTCTCGAGGGCGGAGGTCCGGAGTTGTCCTTTGTTCACGTTGTGGCGGTCCCGGGACTGGACTTCCTGGGAGGCTGTATCTTGGGCCACGACCCCCTCGGAGTTCCCAATCCGGAGGACCGAGTTCCCGAGGGGGTGTGGATGAGGGGGAGGCATAATATTCTCCCTGACCTGAGGTTGGAGGGGAACCAAAGTGCCGAAGGCACCCGGGTTCTGGATGAGCGTCTGGATGAAGGCGGAGAGCGCCGATTGTACGTCGATTGTGATGACCGGAGGGCTAATTTGATTCTCGCTCTGGTCCTTCTTCTTGGCCTTGATGCCGAGGCGGGCATCAGGGGCATTCTGTTGAATCTGATGGCGTAGGTCGACAACCGTCTGGTCCAACCCGGCGATGACGCCGCCCCTGGGAGCCCTGTTAGAGGCTTCAGGGACGTCGACCTCGCCGAGGGCCAGGTTCCTGTCCTCTACATTCTTGTAGTTGGCACGAGTTGTTCTCACCATTTTAGCTAGGTGTTTTGTGTTTGGTCGAGGGGGGGGGGGGGGGTTCTTACTTGATTGTTCGACCTCTCAATGAAAGCACCAAATGATGGATAGTGTACCCGGGGGGTAGCTTATCCGAGGGGTTATTACGAGGAATAACTAGAGAGAAGTCAGAGCAAGTAAGTAGAGAGAGTATATTAGAAAGTGTATTCAGCGTTTTCAGTGTATTTGCTTCTTTTTTACAAATGGGGGAATGGGGTGCTATTTATAGCACCAATAAATGCCAGATGGGGACACGTGTCAAGCATCCATTGGTCGAGGGGTCACCTCAACTGGTTGGCGCTGGCAATCGCATGTGGCCGCATTTAATGCGGCTGTTGGATGTGACGGCGTACTTGGTACGGTGATCTACGCGCATGTGGAGAGGATATTATGTCGGAAAGGTGCCCTCGGCTGTAGATGATTAGCCGAGGGCTCTGAGTACCGGGGACCCCCTTAGTGCCGAGGGCTCTAGGTGCCGAGGGCTACTGATTTTCGCCGTTTTTCCCCAGTAACCTTGTCTTCCTGATTTGACCCTCCTGTGAGATTCAGAGCCTTCGGCCAGGGGGCCGAAGGCACCCCTGGTGCGCATTGTGGGCCGCTTGGTACTCTGGGCGCCGTGATTTGGGCATGTTGTGCCTATTGGGCCTTTATTGGAGTAGTAGAAGTCTGTGGGCCGGGGGTTCCCGGGCCATATACTCCATCATCCTAATTATGAGGTATGCTTTTAATTGTTCTTTTCACATATGAGAACTGGAGAAGATCATGAATATGTATAATTTATTTATATTCATATTGATATTCATACTCTTGTGTATACTCAGAAGGATGGATGTGGCTTCTTTGAATGGCATGATGAGCCATTAACGGACAGAGCAAGGCATGTTATCAATGAGCTGAAAAGGGAGAATAAGAGGTTGCAATCTGCAATGTTTGAATTGGAATGTGATAGTGTTGCTCAAAAGTTGGAGAGTGAAGTTGAAGAAGTCAACAGTATGAATGATGCAGCCCATCTGGAATTGGAAAGAAAAACTAAAATGAAGAATAGTTATGTTATTGTAGTGTTGTTATGTGTCCTTATTGTAGTATTATGTGTGTTAGTATGTTAGTTTCAGTTTCTTGTAAAATGGTTTGGTTATGACCTTGTAAACAGTTTGAATTTGAATACATGTTTTTGTTAGAAATTTTTAATAAGTTGGTCTGGTTGTATTACTATGTTTGAGAGCAGTGTACTGATAACACCACAAATGAAGTAGTGTACTGATAACACCAGTTTGAGAGTAGTTTGAAATCAGAGCCATTACCATAACCACAATACAATCTGTAGAAGAAAGCCCTCATGCCAACATGGTCTGGTTGAATAAACAACATATATAAACAAAAAAAGAACTTATATCATAACTTCACATCATTAGGGATCATAATACTGATTGTTAATGAGGTTACAAAATACAAAAAAAGCATTATAAGCCCTAATTTAGCACCCCAAAATTGCAGTCAGTTCCTTATAGTGCCAGAAGTAGTAAAACTTCATACAAAACACCCAAGCTTCCAGTGAGTCTTCAAACGACTACATTGCAAAAAAGCTAATAAGCTAATAAATACAAAGTGCCCAAAAGTGTTCTAATGAAACATATGAGTCTTCATTCATCCATATTTGCAGTCTTGCTTCAACATGTTCACTTTGGAATGGAACCCGACCTCCTGATCTGCATCTTCTGTAACAACTGCCTAGAGCTGATTGCTGCATTCCCATTCCATTGCAAACCAGGTGGTTGAAAAGGTAGGTTTGGTGGATTATGCACCTCTGTACCATCACCCTTGAAAGATATTGTTCTATATGTTGACACATCCAACTGCTTCTCATCCCGGGCAGCTCCTCTGATATCTTTTTCATTTGGGATTGCAAATCTGACTGTAACATCAGGGTCATGTGGCATTTCAGGCTGGAAATCTGAAACTATTTCCTCACTGCTCATCCCAGGCTACAAGCATAAACAAGTACATGAAGGTAAAATTAGATATAAGAAAACTTATTTCAATACATCAACAAACTAAACCACTTACATAACACTGGAAACCTAATGATACTCACATTTAAAGTCTTCTCCCCAGTGTTCACATCCACATGGCACCCAAAGCCTGTTATAGATTGTTTACTTATATTCCTTCCTATTCTTCTACATGTCACTTTAGACTTACCAGTACTTTTTTTAGCATTAGTGTGTGGATTTGTTGGTGGAGCTGATTCTGTAGTGGTAGGAATTGATGAAAAAGCAACACTAGCAGGTCTCTTCACAGGTATAGGTCCATTCCCTTCTGCTCCTTAAACACTTGCCTAAGAAAAAGATAAAAAAAACTCATGAAAACACAATAAATCAATATTGCAGTTTACATCTTCAAAGTCATGTACTACTTACATCTTTATCTTTATTAGGACATGTAGCTCTCTTATGGCCCTCCTTATGGCATATCCCACAAGTTTGTAGTCTCCCTTTTCTTGATGATATCTGAGGTGTAGCACTGGCAGATGTAGAAGCACTTCCAGATCCTTTGACCTCAGTAGATGATCTAACCCTGTTCTTCTTTGGTCTGCCAGGTAGGTTTGGCACTGGGGGAGGTAAAATGGGTTCATAATCATCAACCTTCATGAAAGCTTTTCCAGGTACCGGTTGCAAAGCATTTGCATATGCTGCCATATAAGTCTCCTTATGATACCATCTTGAAATGTAGGTGATAGGATCTACCTTCCTATAATAGATAGCACATATGGCATGTAAGCATGGTATTCCAGTCAGTTCTCATGCTCTACAAGTGCAGACCATCTTATCCAACACAACTGTGTGCTTATCTGTCCCCTCTCCAATCTCAAACCCCACATCCCCATTAAATATAACATTGCAACCACTAGCAGCCTCCTTATTGTCTTGATAGTACTCCATGCATAAGGGAGACCAATCGTTTATCCACTTATCATGATTTGTCTTGAACTCTGAAATTCTTTTCATTGCCTTCAATCGTATATCTTCCAGCATGGTTACAATAGGTTTTGACCTAGCTTCCCGGATCCATGAATTGAAGGACTCTGTGATGTTATTATCAACCATCCAACATGAACACCTATTACTAAAGTATGCTCTACACCAAGTTTGAACAGGATACTTCAAAAGGTCAGAAGCAGCTTCAGTGCTCAATTTTCCAAGCTTTTTAAGATTCAGCTGCAACTCTTCTTCATATGTGCTCCAGGAACATATCCAAAACTTTTTGCAAAACTCATTGCCTCTCCATTTTTTTGACCAATTAGCATACACATGTCGGGCACAGAACCTATGCTCTGCATCTGGTATGACCTCTTGAGTAGCACTAATCAGCCCCTTTTGCATATCAGAAATAAGTGTTAACTCACCACCAGTATTCAGGTCTAGCTCCTGAACAAGCCAACTCAAAAACCACCTCCAATTAGACTTATTTTCTTTATCAATGACAGCCCATGCTATAGGGACCATCTGCCCATTTCCATCCAATCCCACTGCACTCAGCAGATTACCCTTACAAACACCTTTTAGAAAGCAACCATCCACACCAATGATTCTTCTACAACCAGCCAGCCAGTTCTGCCTCAAAGCAGCAAAGCATACAAACATTCTCTTGAATACTCTCCTCCCTTCTTTCAATGCTTCACTGCAGAGTTCAATTTCAGCTTTTGAACCAGGATTACTCCTCTTTAATGTGGCAACATATGCTTCTAGGTACCCAAACTCAGCCTTATAACTACCATACATTTCTTGAATAATCAACCTTTTAGCCCTTTTACATTTATACAAGCTAACATTTATCTTCAACTTCTTCTCTGCCTCCTCTTTCATGTCAGCAACTCGAAAGCTAGGATTTCTCTCCAGGTGCCCTTTAAAGTAATTTGCAAGCCACTTTTGAGTAGCACTAGGAATAGAATAATGTCGGAAACACTTGTGCTCAGTGTTACAAATCTTCACTGCCAACCCATAGTTCTTCCCATCTTGAGAAATCCATAATCTAAATGGGCAGCCTTCCTCATTCAAACATTTAACAGCTAGTCTATTCTTCTCATTTGGTTTGATTTTCAGCTTGTAACCATATTTAACACCATAATTAGCAATTGCAGTCCTAGCCTCTTCAGCATCTGCAAAGGTCATTCCATCCATAAAACAATCTGACCCATCTGTTGCATTGTAATTGATTGTACCATCATTATCAGAGGATGGATCAGAATTGTTGCTCTCTTCATCTTCTGAGCCTCTATTTGATTCTTCATCTGTAACATACCCATTTGGGACACCACTTGTATTCACTTCATCACTTTGGTCTCTCTAATCTGTATTGGCAGACTCATCACCCACCCCACCATCATTCTCATCACCAATCTCATGGTTACCAATTTCAGAAAATGAACCTTCTATCAGGGGAATCAAAATGGGTTCGTCCAGTTGATGGTCAACATATAGATCTATAGTATCAATCCAAGAAAATCTCCTTATACGATTTAACACTTTCCTTATAGTGTCATCATCCTGAACTAAGAAAAGTCCATTGTCCAAATCCTTTCCAGGTTCTAAAACATATATATTTTTCGGTGTTTTAAACCCCAAATCATCCTTGTATTTTCTTGAAATGTCATGATAACACATAAAATCGGGGTCAAACCCATAAACTGTATCAGCGTCCCCATTCACATACTGTAACTTTGGTTTCATAACCCACCTCCCGCTATGGTTAAATATGAGATTAACCAACCCATTCATTGTAACAAACAAAAACAACACTGAAAGATTACCTCAGATTAGTCGTACATATTGTAACCTTGGTCGTGCAGTTGAACACCTTCTAATCTTCTCAACTCACTCGCACAATCTCACACTTATTAGCCATGGAAGTGAGTTAGGGTTAGAAATTTCAATTTGGGAGATTCTAATCGCAGGGTGATAATGGGGAAGAGAAGCTGTTAACGGGAAATGTTAGGGGGTGGGCGATGAGGTCTGAAAAGTTTAATTTGGTGTTTATTTGATCTCAAAAAACCTTAATGTCCAATACGCTCTTCATTAAAAACCTCAGTGTCCATTTTGGCCCTTTTCCCTTTTATTAATATAATCTGGCAAATATTCCTCATCATTTACTCTACCGATGAGTGATTTGTCTTCCGAGTTTAAAAAATAAAATAAAAAATAATACTACTCTAATGAACTTGTCACAACATTAGCACTTACATTTTATAGTTTACAAAGAGCCTACCACATAATAGAAGTAATGAAAAGTTTGTATATCAAAAAGTACTTATAAACAAAAAAAGAGTAATCTAGGTAAGAAAATACGGAGTAGTAATTTAAGCATAGTGTAGTTGTGATTCTCTTCACCCTTTTAAGGAGGGTAAACATTACCCCCTCATCTCAATTGCTGTCATGTGGCAATGCATTTCACTTTTTCTTTAAATTGTTATAACTTTTTATTTATGGTTCAATATTTTAAAAAATATATCAGTTTTAAAAATTTATTATTATCTTTCCAATGGTATCAAGGGGGTAGATCCCGCGTTCGAATCCCGTCAACTGCGATGAAGGGTTACTATGCCAAAATGTATAGAATCTCTGCAAGTATCGGGAACAAAGTCTGACTATGTGTTACGTTTTGACATTGTGTACATGCCAAGCGCGCTGTATTTTTTTGTTAGGTGGTTTTATTTCAAAATTCCACTATTTATTTAAGATTTAGATTACTTTTTAGGTGCTGGCCTGGCAGATGTAAGGGACTGTCACCGAAAGCCACAAATCTGAGCCGTCGACAAGGGTCCACGACACCCAATCAGCGAACCAGTCATCAGCCAATCGGGCGCCCACCGGGATTTCTCAACTGCACCGTCATCCTCCTCTCTGTCTGAAGATCACCGGCAACCGAGACTCACCGTCCCGGCGGTTCTACCACCAAACGCCTCTGTCTCTCAATCTCTCTTCGCATCAATTGTATCGTATTTGCACATCAAACATACTCCAAACTTATACGTATCCGAGTTGCTGGCTTGAGCTGGGACTCAGTGCACTCTGAGTGAGGCCGGGCTGCTTCAGTTCTTCAGATTCACCAATTTTCTTTTCCGTCTCGGTAATTTTAATCCGCTCTACACGCTTCTGTTTTCTCAATTTTGGTTTTCGATGGATTCTCAGGACTAGGACCTTATACTTTAGCTGGTTTTGTTCAGATTAAGGATTGTCAGAGCTAAACATGCAGTCTCATGTATAGTAATTGGAATAAGAGACACATTTCACGTGCCTTGGGTTTTTTTATGGTCTCACAAAATCATCAGAATTTATGGACCATTTCTTCATTACTTATTTGGGGTGATGATATATTTAAGTATCTCTTCATTTGGTACTTCATCTGTCTGTCAGCTATGCTGTATCCATCCCATTTATACATGTTTCCATATTCGTATACGTGCACCTGTAAGAACCCTAAAGCTTGAATTTCTGGCATGCGTATACCTGTATAATCTTGTTTGTGCAAATTGCAAAATCAGAAGAACATACACTTTTAATGTCTTTCAATCCAAAGGTTGCGTCTTTTACTGTGCGCTAATCATTACTAAATAAAAAATCTACATGCATGCACTGTGCATATACCATAACTGCAACTTCTATTCTATGTCTACAGATGTGTTAATTTTGATTTTCTAAATTTGAAAAGCACCAGCTGCCTAACAATGAGGATTCATTACTATAATGGTGTTGTCTTTAAAATGAGATTTTTTCAAGGTCGAAATATTAATTTGCATATGAATTCTATCCTCACAAGACGTGTAAAAGTAATGATCATTGAGTCTCTTTACCCACGTGAATTCGATTCATAGTATACCAATTACATGAAGTGGTTGTTTTACCGAATTAGATGTCTGTTTCACCGTGTGTGTTTGTGTGTATCACGGCCGTTACGGCATCGCCAAGTCCGCGACTAGGCTTCCCGGCACTGGGGAGTGGTTGCGAGGCACGTCTGAGGAAGACTAGGCGACTGCGTTGTCATCCATGCGTGGGTTAGGTGAAAAAGGTGACACCAGATTGACTAAAGCGAGCCCAAAAACTAGATTTAGAAACTAACTTTTTGGGAATTAAATTAATTAAGATTAATATAAATATAAAGCCCAGTCTTACATCGTAACTTCACAACGCTGAATCGTCGAACTCTAGTGGAAGAAGCCAGAGTTTCAGAAGAGAACACAGTCGAACTCCAGTCGAAGTAAAATTTCAAATAGCCAACTGAAATTTCCCTTTGCATGTTCTATATTCCTCCTTTTGTTTTCTTCTTTTATTTTTCGCTTGAAATTTTATTCTTGTTCGTTTGCTGACTGAATTTCCTTCCAATAGTCTTCCTTGGTATTTAATTATTGATTATGTATATAGCATTTACATTTTTTATGTCGCGCTTACATATTTAGAGTTTCTTTATTCCAAATTATGGTTTAGTATCTTAGCTACAGCCGGAAGACAACACATGACCATATTTAAGCTAGACAGTGCATACATTCTTCCTATAATATTGTTTTCTTCTTTGTTATAGTATATATTTATAATTGTACTCGTGCAGATTATTAATTATTAGCATACTTTGATATAGTAATTATTATACAACTTATACTCCATGTATACAGATTTACTAGTTTTTCCCATTAAATATATTTAACTATATTATTTTATATATGTAAATATTACATACGGTGCGATCGCCTAATTGTCGCATTGGCGGACTCCTAGTCACCTAGGCGATAAGGCGGTCGGCTGGTGCTCCACCGCACCTCACCATACTGTTGTGACCACGATGATGTGTATATGATGTACATATTTATATGTGTGTGGTGTGTGACAGCATGATCTAAAGGGACCTCTTCAGGGTACTAGGGCAGTCTGACCATGGGCAGCGATGAGAGGGAAAAATCTCCAAAGGAAGCGAAAGAGCCAAAGCCTCCTAGTTCACATGTAAAGTATATTTTTCTTTAATTTCTAATATACAATATTACAATGAATGACATATATACTATCATAAAATCCAATTACCTTTCTTGAGATTCTGCAGGAGCAGGCCACAGCCACCAGCACACCCAATCCAGAGTGGCCAGGGTTTCAGGTTGAGTTTCACTTGAGTGTCTTTGTTTGAATGCTGCTTCCTTTGTTCATCATCATCACCTAATTTTATTATTATTATTATGAATTAGCTTCTATTGTTTTTATGTTTCCCTCATCATCAGCATTCAACACCTTAATCCCAACTATGTTAGGGCTGGCAGCATAAAGTGAAAGCGGCAATTAATTATTTGAAATCATTTAACACTAATTTCATGAAATAGCATACTGTAATAATCTCACTTATATAGACATTATCATGAAATTGTGATGGGTTGAGATAGTTGTTATAGTCATTTCCCATTGTAAAATTGATATTTGGAAATCAACATGTCCATTATGGAACATGATATGTTAATTTTTTCTGTTGCAAATAATCGTTTATTTTTGAAGGTTATACCGTGAGGCTATCATTTATCAATTTTTTTTATTATAAATAATGTGTTTTCACTTTTCATTACATAGGCGTACTCTCCAATGCCTCCGCATGGGTTCTTGGCATCAAATCCTCAAGCACACCCATATGTGTGGGGAGTTCAGGTCAGGACTTTGCTTTATTGGTTGTCTTTGTTTGCAGCATTATTGGATTTCTTTGTTTGCAGTTATTATACTCTAATTGCTGGTAGGAAAACATTGAAACAATGCTTTATTCACTGTGAATTACTCTTATCGTTTTGTTTTTTTTATGCAGCATCTCATGCCACCCTATGGAACTCCACCTCATCCTTATGTTGCAATGTATCCACATGGCAGTATCTATGCTCATGCATCTATTCCACCTGTATGTTCTCCTTTGTTTCCCATCTATTTTCTGCTGTTATTCCTCATGCACTTGTATATTATACTAACATTTTCTGACATACCAGGGCTCTTATCCTTTTAGCCCATTTCCAATGCCGTCTCCAAATGGCATTTCAGATACTTCAGTGAGTTCTAAAGCCTAACAATTTTAAACAACCACAGTTTATAAATCTATCTGTATACTTCATTCTTATTTTTCAATGTGCACTTTAGGGTAATACTTCCGGAAACGTAGAAGTAAATAGCAAGGCGTCTGAAGGGAAGGAGAAGTTACCAATTAAAAGATCCAAGGGAAGCATGGTCAGTTTGAACGTGGCTGCCGGGAAAAACAATGAACCTGGAAAAGCATCTGCAGTATATGCTAATGGGTCATACTGTAAAAGGTATTGTTATATATTAGTAGCAAAAATGATATATCGTAAATAAATTAATGTGTATATATTTATTTAGTTTGTGGTGTTTACTCATGCTTGAGAAAAGCTATCGAACCATAAATTCAATCACTCTGTATCCCATACTTCATCAGTTCATCTTGCAAAAATTGTGGCTTTACCATCAAAGACTGTCCAGCACCATCGATCTATTCTGTTAGCCTTTGTCTGATTTAGGGAAGACATAGAGAAGAAATAAACAAGTGGGAAATCAATGGATAAAAGAGATGTAGGTTCAATTTTTGTTGTTGTTTGGTCGGATAAATGGGTAGAAGAAATAAAATGAAGGTAGGATCCATCATCTCAACTTCTCTCTACATTTCTCTGCTAACCAAACAAGATAAATTCTACACTTCCATCTCACTTGTCTACTTCTTGTTTCTGGTTGACCAAGCAAAGGTTTATGAAAGTGTTGGTGTCAACATTGTGTTTTATGTGTATTTGCATGTTAGTACACATTTCTATGTTGTTTGATTCCTTTTTCAATCTTAAGGCTCCTCACTCCCTTTCTTCGTGGGTCACTTTGACTTGTCCGTGTGTATAAAATTAGTCAGCTTAGGATATTAGCATGATAGATTGATAGATCACCTTTACATATAGGTAATGAATATGCTGCTTTTGGACCCAATGCCTATTTATGGGTAATGAATATAAACTGCTTTTGGACCCAACACTTCTGTATGCTTCATACTCTTTAATGTTTAACACCTACAATGTCAGTGGCGAGAGTGGAAGTGAAGGTTCAACTGGAGGGAGTGATTCCAATTCTCAAAATGTAGGTATTTCATATTTTACATTATCAAATTATCAAATGTTTTGTTAATTTCATTTGCACTCTGTTATCCTTTTAATGCACAAGATTGAGTTTTATTTTTTGATCTTGTCCTCATTTCTGCAGGGATCACAGTCAAAATCCGGAGGTACGCAAGATTCAGTCCTAATGAAAAGTGCAATGACTTATTTGCAACATATTTGTTTCAATGGAAAACTATTATGATGTCTTCTTTACTTCAGGCGAAGCAACTCAGAATGGAGAGAGCAATGGTCATGGTATGGAAATAGTGCCACTATCAGCAGGAGCTGTGACTGCATTAGGTGGTGTTGCTGGCCCCACTACAAATCTGAACATTGGAATGGATTATTGGGGCTCTGCTGCTTCTCCATCTGCTGCTATTCATGTGATCCAAGGAAAAGTGCCTTCTGGCCCAGTTGCTACCGGATCACGAGAGGGTGTTCAACCGCAACATTGGATTCAGGTTTCTCCAAGCGTTGCCTTTCTTCATGAATGTATTGCTTTTGTTAACTTGTTTATGACTCGGCTGTGTCCCAAAAAGAAGAGTTATGTGTCAAGAACTTCGTTGTCCAAAAAACAAGTCTTGTTTGAGCAGAGAACGCTAATTTTCCGTGCAAGTTTCCAATAAAGGCACAGACAAGCTCAAGTTACATGTGATTATTTTAGTTGAACCAACAAAAAAATCAAGAGAGATTAGGATTTATGACTTCTAGTAGTTGTATCTTACCATTGAATAAATCACTATACATTGGTGAAATGTGACTTTTCTAAGACAGAGGCAAGGATGGAGCCAGTCCTGGTTCTAGAACCAGATCGGAGCAGGACTGTGCAGGTAAAAACCGACTGGGTGCCCGTTAATTCAGTTCAAGACTGGAATTGGTACCCGGAACCGCTCCAAATCGGCCCCTGTTCCTCTAAAATAGGCCCGCACTGGACCAGTTCCGGTTTCTCTTTATTTAATAGGCTAAAAAGCTGCCTGGAACCGGACCTGTACCCATTTTTTCCGATCCCGGTCAAAATAATATAGAAATTATTTTGATGATCACACTTTTCAATGTAGATAGAAAACTATACATGTGCAGTATATAATGGCTACATGAATTCAGGAAGAGCATGCATGCCTGTTGTGTAACAGAAAAATAAAATCAACGGGTAAACCGTTGCCTAGATAATCAACGATGAAAATACCGTTGCCCAGAGCCAAAAGTCTAAAACCAAGTACTCGAACTCGCATTTCTGGAGTGCTTTCTAGTATATCTTATTGGTTCTTCTGCTCCCGTTGCCCTACTCACAGCACCCCACGTCAAGCCATCACCTTCATCATCACTGAAAACCGAGTCATCTGCTGCACTTGCATTCACATTTCCAGCCAACCACTCATTGCAATCATCAATGTTATCTAAAGCAATCGGATATGTGATATCTTTAGAGTCAAAGCGAGCTTTTAACTGATACAGTGAGTCAGTGATACATAAACTTTATGGAATCAGTTTGATATATAAAGTTAAGAACATATAAGAATTAAGAACATATAACTTTAGTATGTATATTAGTATTATATACAATGTAGAGTACTATATATGTATATTACAAGGCAGAGTACTATGACAGTATGAGTATTATATACATAGTAATATACTAAAAAATAAAAAAGCAGAGTACTATGACAGTATGAGTATTATATACAGTAATATACCTTGTTTACTGCTATGATGGAGAGCTGCGTATGCTTGAGATGATGAAGCTGAAAGAATCGGCTGGTGTAGAGCAGTTTGAGTATAGAGTGAGGGAGTGAGGAAAGCGAGGAGAGCTGAAAGAACCGGCTGGTGCAGAGCAGCTTGAGTATAGCGGTTTTTACGTACTAACGGTACTATTAAGCTTAGTTTTACGTAGGTTAAACTTACTTTAACCTATTGTTTTCATGGGCTGAGGACTATTAAGATATGGGCTTTTTTTTCAAAGTTTTAAACTAAAAAAGGGCTGTCAGCCTTTTCCGTTTCAGGCAACTGAGGCGCGCGCCTATAGGGCTTCCGCGCTTCGTGCGCTTCTAGCGCTTATGCTGCGCCTTGCCCAGGCTTCCGCGCTTCTTCCTTACTCAGGCGCTAGGGGTCTGCCTCGCTGCGCTTTGTGCGCTTAAGCGCAGAAGCGAGCGCTTTTGACAACACTGTGTGCAGTATATAATGGCTACATGAATTCAGGAAGAGCATGCATGCCTGTTGTGTAACAGAAAAATAAAATCAATGGGTAAACCGTTGCCTAGATAATCAACGATGAAAATACCGTTGCCCAGAGCCAAAAGTCTAAAACCAATTTTATTCCAAGATAAGATAGAATGAACCCTGGCAAGGGGTATAAATAGCCTTCTAAGAGAAACCCTAATCAAGCCCAAATTAACTAAATCCTAATTAAGTCCATAATAACTCTACTAAGTACTCTACTAATAATAGGCCCAAAGTAAAACATAACATTAACTTAATAATAATAAATAAACTCTAATGACAGCCCTAACCCGGCCCACGGAAGTGGGCCCAAGTCCGGTCCCGCCCCATGCTCTTCCCACTCTCTATCAATCCATCCTCCTTCAAAATAACCTTGTCCTCAAGGTTGAAATCCGGAAACCGGCTCACATTTGTCCCCGGGGCTGCCCAGTATCTTTAGGAAAAATTGAGATGTACTCCTTCCTAGTCCCTGTCTGCTTGCCTCCGGGCAGCCGTTGAAAGCAATTGCCCTTAACCCGTGAGTCAAAACGAGCCACCAATGCCTGTGTAAGCTCATCCCATGACATGACCGGCTTTCGTGCCCGTAACCGGGTCATCCAATATAAGCTTGGCCCTTCCATCGCTACTACAACGGCTGCCACCTTCTTTCCCGGCGGAGTACAGTTCAATTCGAACTGTTGCTCAGCCCTATCAACCCAGCTGATCAGTTCTTCTCCGTTAAACGAGGGCAACATCGTGAGAAAGGTGCTGCACAGTCCAATTCCGAACGAGGATGCTGCTGCCGCTTCAAGTGAAGCCACCACCGTTGAATGCTCCTCCACTGCCGGCGGCGCGAGAGCCTCTGTAAACGTAGCCAAGGAGGAAGTGACGCTGCATGGCTGTCTGTCGCTTCTGTGCGCAGATACGGTAGGGCTGCCAACCACGTCCAGGCTTGTTTCCGTCGTGACCGGAGGAATTAGCGCCTTGGTAAGCGCTGCCAAGGATGCGGCAATCTCTGCCAGACGCATGCCGTGCTCCTCTAGGGTTTGATTCATCCGAGTTTGCTTGGTGACCATCTCTGTCAAGCAGTCGATCTGAGATCTCATCATCTTGGCAGGACGGGATCCGGCAGGTCGGACCAATTGTTGTGTAACAGAAAAATAAAATCAACGGGTAAACCGTTGCCTAGATAATAAACGATAAAAATACCATTGCCCAGAGCCAAAAGGCTAAAACCAATTTTATTCCAAGATAAGATAGAATGAACCATGGCAAGGGGTATAAATAGCTTTCTAAGAGAAACCCTAATCAAGCCCAAATTAACTAAATCCTAATTAAGCCCATAATAACTCTACTAAGTACTCTACTAATAATAGGCCCAAAGTAAAACATAACATTAACTTAATAATAATAAATAAACTCTAATGACAGCCCTAACCCGGCCCACGGAAGTGGGCCCAAGTCCGGTCCCGCCCCATGCTCTTCCCGCTCTCTATCAATGCCAAAGTAGAAAAAATAGACATTTTGACAACCAACAAGCAGATGAATAACATAACAATTTTATTCTTGATGTTCAGAATGAAAAAGAGCTTAAGAGGCAGAGAAGAAAGCAGTCCAACCGGGAATCTGCTCGCCGTTCCAGGCAGCGCAAGCAGGTAAAATACATCCCCTTTAGCATTTACATCGCCGGTCTTGATTAATCCCTGACACTTTTTCCTTGATCTGGGAGTCAGGCGGAATGTGATGAACTGGCACATCGGGCTGAAGCTCTAAAGGTAGAAAATGCATCTCTTAGAGCAGAAATAAGCCGCGTGAAGAGCGAGTGTGAGCAGCTTATTGCTCAGAATGCAGCTCTCAAGGTAATCTCAGTACTACAGTACTACTTACCTTTGTTAATTCCTGCTATCATATACGGAGTACATCAACAATGCGAGCATGTTCCGTGGTTTCAGTGTGGGATGTTTTTCCCAGAGAAATCAAATTATAGGAATTCTATGTGTTTAAAGAATAAGAGAAAATTCCCCTTTTGGTTATTTGACTATTATTTTCCAAGTTTTGATCCTCACCTTTAAAATCATTGGGGTTTGGCACTCATACAGTCCGGCTATTAAAAAGATTTTACATGATGGATTTTTTAAAACTTCTATTTTGTTTGAATTTCATACCAACTTCTATAAAGTTTTTCGTCTTTCATTGTGTCCCTCCCTCAAAGAGAAGGGGCTTTGGCGCACCGGTTACGGTGTTTTAAGAACGGGTTTTTGTCAAAATGATATGGAAAGATTTGCTCCTTAAATGCTCTTGTGGTGGAATCCTTCCCGGACCCCGCACCTTGCAGGGGTGCCAATGTGCACCGGGCTGCCCTTTTTATTGTAACCCTCAATGTCAGATAACTCTAGTATTTACAATTGACTATATGCAGGAAAGACTTGGTGAAGCTCCTGGTAAAGATGATCCGAGGCCGAGCAGGAATGAATCTCCTCCTGGGGTGGGTCCACATTCATCAGATGCAGAACCCTCTCATAGTGATCAATGACTGCTGAATCGGCTGTTTTGTGGGTGGTTCATCTAATGACTTGGTAACAGAAAGTAATTAATTGGCCCGTGATGTTAGTTTTTAATCTAATGACTTGCATTCAGCTTCTTTTTTATTATATTATAATCAAATATTGCCCATTGTTTCTCAGTGTACTAATCTATTATGGTTGAGGAATTCTGATGATACACATACACTTGTAGGATAGCGAGCCCTTATTCTGCACCTCTCCTGTGTTCTTTTATATATAGGGTCGGTTCTCTATTCAACTTGTCATTAATTATTAAATAATACTCTGTATCTTATTATTATTGCTACTATTATTACTATTATTATTATAAAGTTATGCACTAATCACTAATGTGGTTGAATGTTGGATTACTGCCTATAAAAAATTGGTGGCTGTTTGTATACTGTTTGCACTTTGCATTACTTAACGATACATTTCTGCCTTGCTAATACCTAGAAGCCGTTTAGTCATCAAAATGACTAATTCTACTTACAGAGATACAGTGCAATAAATTACCACTTACCAAATTCTTACAAATAGTCCTCAGTGTAGATTAATTTCTTACCACTTGCATTTGCAACTATATACTCCTTCAGTCCCAATTTGTAAGATATGTTTCCTATTCACTTGGTTAACATAAATCACTCTTAATCTTTTACTTTATATATCAAAATTTTATGAAATTTATTCCATCATTTGCAATGGAGCCAAAAACTCATTATTTTTTGGCTTGGGAATATAATGGAATAAAGCAAATGGGTTCACTAAACTGTCTGGCTTCTTTGTTATGAAGCAACAATCAGTCCATGCAATTTTTGACGTGATTTTCACTATGGATCATCCGGAAACAGTCTCTTTGTGGTGTAGTACAGAGGTAAGACTGCGTATATCTGACCCCATTACCCCATTATAGGTGAGAGCATTGCGACACTGGGGTAATGATAATGATATGATCAAAATTTTATAAAATTTGAATTATTTTTTTACATGTTTTGTAACGGTTTTAATGTAGTTTTTGAATATGTAAATTTTATTTTTTAAAACTAATTTGAGTGTTGTCAGAGATCAATTTGTTTTATCATGTTTTGTAACGGTTTTAATGGAGTATTAGACTATTAGTTAATAAAATTTATTTAGATCTATTCAATTTTCCATATCATTTTAAATAGTAATCCGAAAATGAAGTAGTTTTTTAGCATGTTTGGTAATCTTTGGATATGGTTGAAACTACTTCATTTGATGAGCTTGCTATAATATCAGGGAATTATGTTAAGAGCAACTTCACCCAAAAGAGAGAATAAAGTTGGAGGATTAAAAAAGAAAACAAATAAACAAATTAGTTTATTACATGAACTACTATTACTATGGAGATTGAAAGAATATACCCCCTCGGCCCTCCCCGCCATATCTACCTTATCTATCACCAGTTCACCAACACGAACATCTTGTGGTGACTGGTTTGAAGCTGCAAGCAAACTTTGGGCATTTTCTGCTGCCCAATTTTACTAGACAACAGAAAGTGTTTGAACTCAAAGTAGTAGTGGTCTTAGAAGACCTGTTTATATCAGAGAGATTTTGACGGATCTTTTTAAGTCGGACTTCAGTGGTCATATTCTCCATTTCTTGAATGAAGTGGCGAAGGTGGCGGATGTAATCTGGGTAGAGCTCTAAGTTGCAATGGCCGCCTCCTTTAATCCACAATGGCTCGTATGGTTCCCTCGCCATTTTCCATAGTCTGTCCCCGTGTAACCAGTTCACAACTTCATCTGCTGTTCCCTGCCAAACACTACTAATATCATAACATACCAATCCTTCTACTAATAATGAAGGGTATCATATCCTAATACTACTTAGTCATTCCTTTGAGTTTGGGCTAGAGATTCATTTTTCTGCACTAGACTAATGTTTCCTTAGAAAGGTTAAGGATGTTTTTACTTGGCCTAGTCTGGTAAAAATGTTTGGGGTCTGAAAACAGTCCAAGTAAAAACATCCTAAGCTTCCACGGGAATTATCTTCCCAAGAATCTAACTTTCCCTACGAATTAGCTTCCTCAGAGTGTGAAATCTTGCCATGCTCAACTTAAAAAAAATTCTGTGTATAGGAATTAATAGGGGTATTTAGTGGACCTGAACATATGCACTTGGTTGAAGTTTCAAGGAATTCTTTACTTTGAAAGTTTTCACAGGAATTACATTCCAGGGAAGTTAACTTCCCCTAACATTTAACTTTCTCTTAGAGTAGTAACCTTCACATAAGAAATGACTTCCTAAGAATTACTTTCCCATTAATTTAATTGATGACAGGATACTGGACAAAACTTCCTTTGAAAGTAACCTCACAATAATTTAATGGAAGGAAAAGCATGGACCACTAAACTTCTAAAAGAATGCATCTTAATGTACTAGTACTTTAATTTATTACAATGTTTGAAGCTCGACTTGGGACAGTTAAGATTTGAGAACTTACATGTATTACAAGCACAGGAGATTTTACCTTGCGCATCTTGTTCACATTCTGCACGTTCAAATTCACTATTAGTCAGAGCAAATCAGAACAACAAGTAAAAAGCAAACTTGACATATCATTCAAACTTTCCCGCCATGTTTTCTTCTCTTAATTATTGGTTGCATGTTCAATAATAACACATTAAAGCATGTGAAATGAACCTAAAAACTTCTTTAGACATGAGCTTATTAATCACACCTTTTCCATTTCAAGCACAATACCATTACTGTTCTTTCATGGTATGTGGCATCAAATCAATTGCATACTTCAGAGGCAAGGTAAAAAATGCAGATGTTTATAGTTAGTTTTTAGTTTCAACAACAAAACAAACAACCACGGAGCAATATCATTATATCATATCCAGTACCCCCCCCCCCCCCCCCCCCCCCAAAAAAAAAAGTTCATCTTTTATGACATAAGTCAAGATTGAGTTAGGGTCATAAGGCATTTGGGTCAAACCACACTAAAATATTGAATCCAACCTATTAATTATTTAACTTAGTTCAACCCACGGAAAGTAAGTTTTTGTAGAAAATGGTGGTCTAGAGATGATATATTGTTTAACCTGCGGAAAAACTACGGAGTATAAAAAAGAGCCTCTTTCAGGAAAATAGGTTGATCTTTCAAAAAATGAGGGGTTTTTCAAAGAAATGCAAAGAATCCAAAAAAGATTTCCCTTTTTACATAAATCAAGCAACCCTTTAATCTAAGATTAACTTTTTCCCGCTGATCTTGATCAATTCAAAGCTCTATAGACTAACAACAATTTTTGACCAACAAAACCTTGAAAAGAAAGACTAATAACACACTAGTACTTTCATCTCAATTCTCACTAGTCCTATACATTAACTTACCTTGTAAATGTCAAAACAAAAAGTGAACTTCACATGACAAACCACTCGGAGGCCGGAAAGAATGCCACTGTGTAAAACCACCCCTCTCAGCCTCGGCAACTTAGCCGCTAAGTGTAACGTAGGTCCACTGCCAACAGACTGTCCATATAGGATCACATCTTCCTGACTAACTCCATACTCATCTTGAAGGCACTCATATACTGCCTCTATATCAGCATATGTATCAAATTCACTTGGCTGATCCACATTTAACATATAACTAAAAACGTTAAGAAATCATCAAAAGAGAATTTTGAATCTTAATAAAGAGAACGTGACTGAAATGCATCAGACAGAACATAAGTGGCCTACCTTCCCTGTAGAGGCTCCATACCCAGAATAATCATATCTGCAGGATATTGAAAAACATAAATAGAATAGAAACATTATATGCCACATCCAAAGTACATGATATTATGCTGAAGCAGAACCAGACATCCTCATAATTGTGATTATCTCAATCTCTTGTCATAATTATATTTGTAAATAAATTGAATTGAATATATACTATATTATTCATAACAGAAAAAAAAAGTTTCCCCAAATGGATGAGCATTATCATCTATAGATACTTCCATAAATTGCAAAGTACAGAATCATACAAAGACACATATCTTTGGTGGGGAAGGGGACCCATTCCTTCTCTGTCCCTTCCCCCACCCTCTATGACCTCCGGCCACCACAAGAAGAGCTCTCATTAAAAAAATGAAGAAAGACAAAAGAGTACATTTCTTCCAATTTTTTAAGAGCTCTCATTTAAAATGCTAACAAGCGAAATGAGTATAAAGAAGAAAGACAAAAGAGTACCTCTCTTCCAAATTAATGAAGACAAAGGGACATGTCCAAAACAGGATTTTTTTCCTAATAAAAAAAATTGAGGCCGGAGATCTGCCATACCCGAGTAGTTTTTCCCAAATACAACCCCACAAATCGTAGCTGGAGAAGTCAGAATAGAGTTAAGCTTCTTGAAGCATTTTTTGTGCATATAAAATTACAAACAGCAATAGAGAAAACACAGAGAGCTCCAATGAGCTTAATTATTACTCTGTATTATTTTTAATTATAAAAAAACAGATATTTCTATTTATGCTAAAATTACAAGAACAACAAGAAGACAATAATAACACTAAGGTTCTAATACCAATCAGAAAGAGGGCTTTAAACACAGACCCCATGATGTTGACTCGGAGATTAGCTTTGAGCTGAAGAAACAAGTCATAAAGTTGACCAAGATCAGCTGCATTTCCGTGAGAATACAGCAGAGTGAGCCTAGCATACGGGCTCTTTAGGTAAAAAGCTACGATCTTGTTTCCCCTCTTGGTGTCTAGAATATGCACATCCAGACAAGTGTCCTCCGAAACGGACGCCGTCAAAGCGGCGGCGGCGGCGGAGTTCGGGACAGCTTCCCAGCGGCCGTCTCCGTCGCGCTTCTTCACGCGATATGTGGCCGGCGAAGGCGGAAAGAAAGCCAACTTCGCCGCCAGCTGAGAAATCAAACACCCCATACCCAACTCATGAATGCATGTGGTGTGGGATTTCTTCACTTTCTTGATTTGGCTGAAAATGGCGAATGGGTTTTGCAGAGTGTTAGAGGGAGGGCGTGATGGGTACGTATTCAGGGAGAAGACTGTTTTTGGTCAGCTAAAATCTTGGGAAGACTTGGCTGATTAATTCTACAATAATGTTATTTTTGCGTAAGCAGGGGGTGAATCTGAGAATGTGATTGAAAGATGGAGTCTTCGAGAGTTCTTGGAGGTGGCAAGCTAAGCTGGAAGACTAGACTACAGAGGCCATTTTGTGCGATTGCGTGTCTGTCGCTTTCTCTACAGTTCTTTCTGCTGTACTTTTCGCCTTATTCTTGACCATTCCGATGCCCCTGCTTACCCACCGGCAACCGTGCATCCACCTATTGAACTAAAAAGATGACACCCCATTAGGGATGATGGCAACGGGACGGATCGGTTTTACATACAACAGTAAGCGCCTCATTGGGTAATTTCCCCACCCCTTAACCGCTCCATTAGTAATTTTTACCCAAATCATAACCGCCTCAACGGGTAACGGGTAAAACTTCGGGTAACCGCTTTATTAATTGAGTCATTAAATTTTGATATAAAAATAATATTTTAAAAGGCGAAGAATGACATCGTCTAGACGACTCTACATTTCAGATGTCAATTTAAAGATTTGTATATCTACAAGACGAGAAAGGAAGCAACTTAAATTAATTTGAACCTAAAAATACTTGATCTAAAAAATAATTAATCACAAAAAAATATGGTAATAATCAAACAAGACTATTAAAATCTATCATGAACTTTCGTTCATACATTATAGTTAGTACATCTATTATCTATATATACACAATGGAAAGAGAAAAAAAAATCTCATCCTTTAATAGTTGGTAGACAAATAATAGATAAAAATATAATAAAAATATAACTACAAATAAACGGGGCGGGTAATGGGGTGGACATGTATAAAACCGTAACCGCCCCATTACCCGTAAAATTAAAACGGGGATTCCCCGCCCCGTACCCGTTACCCGGTCAATACGGTTTTCCCCATTTTGACTGAGACGGTTCGGTGCGGGTATCCATCGGTTCGGTCACAATTGACATCTATACACCCCATCTATGAAGGCCCCCAATCCCGACCGAACGATATGTTGGGAGGATGTAAATTGGACTATAATTCTAATCTGACAGATAGAGAGTGATGCTTTGTCCCCGGTACTTGCAGAGTTCCTATGCATTTTTTAGCATAGTAACCCCTCATCTAGAGATGGACTAAATCGGGTCGGCCCGACTCGGAACCGGCCCGGCCCATTAGTGTTTGGGCCCGGACCTGACCGGGACCGGTTGGCCGGTTCCGGGCTTTTAGCCCGTTTGGGCAGGTCGGGCGGGGCAGGCTCGGGCCCAACTTTTGCTGAACCGGCCCGGGCGGTTCGGGTCGGGCCCGGTTCAATTTTTTTTCAATTTTTTTGCTTTTCTAGGTTAGGGTTGGGTGTTTTGGGGGGTGGGGTGAAGGGGGGGGGGTCGAGTGTTAATTAGAAACCAAAAAAAATTGAACTTGACCCTGCCCGGCCCGGACCCGGTATCAACCCGGGCCGGTTCCGGGCCCAACATATTGCAAAAAAAGCCCACCCGACCCCAGCTCAGAACCGGAACCAGAGCCGGACCGGCCCAGGTCCATCTCTACCCTTATCGCAGTTATCGGGATTCGAACCCGGGACCTAACCCGGTCCACCTATTGAACTAATATCACATTTCTTGAAAGCATTTATAAATCAACCATTCTTGATGTACACACCCTTGTACACACCTTATACACACCATGTTTGTGAAGCTTTTTTTTGTCTGTGAATTCGGTTCACAGACAATATTTTATTTGTGCAAAACATTGTCTGTGAATCAATGTTCACAGACATAAGTGTGTACAAAAGTGTGTATAAGAATGTGTACAAACATCATTTTTGTTTATAAATACGAAGTACTCCGTATTCTATAGGGAGTCCTATTCAAGCAACTCCATGTAGTCTAGTTTTACCGCTCATGTAGTCTAGTTTGAGTCAAACTTCAGCGTGCTTCTTAAATTTGCTTATACTTCTTCTTCAGAACCAATTCTTTCAAAATATTGAAGTGTTTGAGCGAAACTCCATAAGCACTTTGGTGCTCCAAATTACTTCTAGAAGTATTAACTTAGAAATGAAAAATTGTCCTCAATAGAACTAAAAATGTTTGTGTGTTCCTAAGTGGGATAAGGGGTCATTAAACCCTTCTAACCGAAAAAGTGCAAATCACCCCTTTTATAAAAGGCTCTGTCTGGCCGTCACCATTTGGGGAGGTTACAGGTGGAAGTTTTTGATGATTTTTTTTGAGCATCTTCTTCATTAAGTCTAGTTTACCCATACCAAATTTCAGTTAAGAATTCAACCGGGAAGAGAGCCAAAAGATTTTCTGAAATATACTGCGTTGTTTAACTACGCAGTTATCTTCAAACATTTATTTGACTGTCTTCACGATGAAAGTTTTAGCTGAAATTTGGTATGGGTAAACTAGACTTAATGAAGAAGATGTTAAAAAAATTTCATAAAACAAATCCATCGGGAACCGCCTCAAATGGCGACGGCCGGACAGATTCTCCTATAAAAGGGGTGATTTGCACTTTTCGGTTAGTTCGAAGGCTTATTTGCCCATTATCCCATTTTTAAGTAGGACTTTTATGTTTTATTTCCTAAATAGTAGTAATTAATGTCATGTTTTGACAGTACCAGACTATAAACATGATAATATTTTTCAAACTTGACACTAATTACTCTTATTTAGGGAATAGTAACATGACAGTCCTATTTTGAAACGTTTTTACTCCTATATCGGAAATTTTCCCTTTAGAAATTGGGCGAGACCATTTTCTGGAAAATTGATTCTAATCTTGCTTCTCGAAATCAATTCCAAATATAAAAAAAAGGATTCGGTAAATAGGAATAAAAAAATACATTTCATAAAAAGGACTATCATTATATTATTCTCAAAATATGACTCATTGACTCCTATTTTGAGAAGTTTTAATCAATTTATTTTGTCAGACTACATAAATGTTAGTATATAGAAGTATGTCCTAGCGACAATCATTTTTTAGAGATATATGTACTTGATCACATTCAGTTTTACATATTTGATATATATTAGGTATTACACATTGATGATTAAACATTTAGATTGTCAATGTCTTATTCATAATTGTGTTCTCTTGGACTTACGTTGTCAATAAGTAAGTAAGAGCTTATATGATATACCATAATGTCCTTAAATGGCGACGGCCAGACAGAGCCTCCTATAAAATGACTTATTTGCACTTTTTATGAAAGTTCGAGAGCTTATTTGATAGTTCTCCCTTAGATTTATTATACTATGTATTTTTAATTAAATAAAATTGATATTTATCTTTGTAAAAGTGGCGTGAAGCCCACTTTGCTCTTACTATTAGTTTGTTTTGCTTTAATTATTTAATTATGTCATTAATAAGGAGTATTGGTCCTATTAGGACTAGAACTCATTAATGAGAAATACTTTCATTGTGATTGGGAAACTAGTTTAGAACTAGTGAGATCTAACCGTTCTTTCGGAAAGGAGAAATCACGTGGATATCTAAGGTCACGGATTGTCACCACTAGGTTGGAAGATTTGTAAGTTCTAACTCAGATATGTTATTTTTTTATATTCGTTGTTTTGTCATAATCAGGAAAGATCTGTTTGTAAAAAATTTAAACTTCCAATGTTATACTTTCGAGGTACGTTATATCAATTTTCTAACAATAACTCCTGTTTGAGGAACAAAACATACTTAATCTTATTTTTTGAACATTCTATATGTTTTAGTCCTATATTTAAGTCATTTCTATAAAAATACTTATCTTCAACTACATATTAAATATATATATCAAAGACTCACCTGTTGCTTCATGTTTTAGGAAATGTTCTAACAGTGTTATGTAGGCTTTAGACATTCTCGGACGAAACTCAGCGGGAACTCGATTTTTCTTTATCAAATATCTCACGGTTTAAGCCGAATTCGAGTTTAACTTGCTCGAATAACATCTCTAAACTTACTTTTGTACCCTCTTAATACTCTTTCTTCCCTTAAAACTTTGTCTTTCTTTGAATTATTTGGTCAATAAATATAAACATTCTACAATTATATATTTTCAAGACATGTATAGTGTGTCTAGTCTAACTTTGCTTAAATTGGATTTGTACGAATGACGAAATGGTTAGTAGTCTGATCTGATTTATTATTGTGTGGTCCAATGCACTTGGTATATTATACCGGATGTGCGTATCATCCTTGCGCAGGGGCCATGCTAATCTTCTCTGTATCGTTCCAATTTTATCGGATGTTCCCGAAGGGACATTATACATCCGGATGTACGTAGGGCATCGTACATCCGGCCCATCAGAAATATTATAATGGACTGGAGCACTAAAAGACTACAGTAAACGGCCCAAAATTAAAACACGTCCAAAACTAATACAGGTCCAAAAAATTCGGTGACATTTTTGTAATTTAAGCAAAAAATCACGGCTTCCGCTAAATGAGCAATATTGTGCTTTTAATGAGCATCAGACCTATTTTATTGAGTATTTATGAGACTAACAATGAGTATCACGATCCCTGCTTCATATCTTCTAATCCTTTTTTCTTTTTCTTATTTTTTCTTTTATAAAAGCTTATTAAATTATATCTATAATACACTCCTATTAATTTCAATATGAGAGTCTAATGTAATATGATACTTTTGAAATATGCATTGATATTACAATTCAAGTCTATATCATATAATCTCATCAACACAATACCGGTTTCTTTTACCAATATAGCAATATTAACCCAAAATAAATAAATAAATTATACTACTAGTCATAAATTTAGCATGTTAAATACTACTCGGTACTACTTAACTTTACAATTGTAGTAGACACCAGTTCACTTGCAATCACACAAACCCAATTGTAATTAGTATGTACTATGTACTACAGAGTATATTGGCATTTAGCCATTCAGCAAGTTAAATCAAATACCACGTACTAAAAAGTTAAAATCCTTATGACCTTATTTAGACATCCAGATATTTATTACTCCCTCAGTAACATAAAAATGAGTATCAGACCTATAAAAATGAGCATATGCAACTTGTAAGATGAGCATTGATATGAAAATTGTAAGTTTTGTTCGTTGAGCGTCAAGACATTTTCAATGAGCATCAAATCTCCGTTATTGAGTATTAGAATCTACAATTAGGTATCGATCATGATTTGTGGTCTCGTGTCTATAATGAATTCCTATATAAATCTAATGTAATATGAGACTTTTAAAATATACATTGCTAAAACATTTTTAAAATGAGCATAACAGAAATACT